CTGCCTATAATAACCTTTGACCTAGCCTTGTAAGCCTGAATTCCTGTGAAGGTTCACATTTCTATAGGCAATCATTCATTCCATCATGTAATTAGAAGTCTCAAGAAGGTCTTTGTGTGTAACTTACCAAAACATCATAACGTATGGCTTTAATCATAGATATCGAATAATACTTAGTTACCACCTATTTTTTCTTAGATAACCAATTATTGTTAAGCAGGCAAACCTTATGTCATTCTGTATACGCCCTATGTAATTGAATTTTAAACTTATAAAAATCCATTGCAGTTAGAATATTTTTACCAATGCTTTTAACATCAAGGTTGGATAAGATCTAGAAGTGAATATACATTGTCTATTGGTCCATATGATTTTAAACCAGACTTTTGTTGTTACCGGATGATGTGTATATTGTAATAAATATACGGTTTTAACTGCAAGATACTCTGATTCGATTTGTTCAGAAAACTGGAAAACAAATATCTCACGGAATGCAAATTTCCTACATAACTCAATTATCTCCGAGGATAGAGTCTAACCTCCATTTTATACAGTATAATAAAAATATATAACTTTAAAACTCCCGAACAGAATCCCCAGATAGTTCGGATCTTAGCGCACCATTTTACCGAATAGCGCTCAGATCCCATACACACAGTTCAATCGCCATGGAGCCAAAGTCTTTCACATAGTCTTTTCGTTATACGAATGGGCTCCATGGGATAGCTATCTGAGGTAGCTCTGTTTGTATGGCCAAAGTCCCAAACAGCCTGACGTTCATATGAGCCAGGGGCAGAAAGGAGGAGGTCGGTGACTTCATCGGTGTTCGCATGGAAATAGTAGCCGTTTTCAGTTCTATGCTTTCGTCGACGAACACCGCTGACCGCTTTCGACTAAACAAGATGGCCGCCGCCTCGTGTTCGGCTATACGAACGGTGGCCACCCAGTGTCGACAATTAAGTTGCGTTTAACTGCAGCTTCTGGGCAGTAAATGAGGGGCACACTCCCCCTGTAGGTGGTCCGGTTGTTTGGCGATTTACCGAACAATGTTGTAGAAAGGCGTGAACAAGCCTTTCTACAGGGCAAAATAGCTGTTTAATCCAGGGACCATAATCCTGAGGGAGTAGGCGAGCAACCAGGCATCTCCAGGACCCAGTGGTGAGGTTACTTTCGTCATATTTCTCCCCTTTCCACAGAAGACTAACAAGGTACCTGACCTTCTGTCGGTTAGTGCCTTGTTTAGTCAAGCATCCCACCCACAAAGAATAATCAGCAGAGTAGCCCACCCACAATAATTGGCTACTGCACCTGGGAAATCTGCTAGCCAGTCCTTGTCCAGGGAGTCCACCAATGCTGGGTTGGGCACTTGTATTTCTGGTCGCTGGGTTGCTTTGTGCCTTGGAGTGTGGGTTGCTTTGTGGACAGAGACCAGCGGTACTCTGCCCTGGTGCCAGCGCTCCAGCTGAGTGGCCTGGTGCGCAGTCCTTCCCTATAACAATGGGACTTGGGGGGCAGAGGCCAACTGCTCTCTGCCCGGATGCCAGCTTTGCTGCTGGGGTCACCTGTAGGGGCTATTGCCCTGGGCAAGGGAGTAGGGGGGGGCAGGGGGCAGCGACGCTCTGCCCTGATGCCAGCTCTTCCGCTGGTGCCTCCTGGATGCAACTTGCCTGGGGAGGGGGGACAAAGCTTACCTCCCTCCCCTGGTTTTCCTGGGGTGGTAGCTGGGGATCTGGACAGGCCGTCCAGCATCCCTGTAGTTCGGGCACAGACCCCTCGGGGAGCAGAAGAGCAACCAGGCCTCTCCAGGACCCAGTGACGAGGTTACTTTCGCCACATTCAGTAATATTATACAGAGTGACATGTTTATTATCAGCGCATAGATACTCAGTATCATTATACAGAGCGATATGTTTATCAGCGTATAGATTCTCCGTACTATTATACAGAGCGGCTTCAGTTGTGTTCGCATGAAAATAGTGTCTGTTTTTAGTTACATGGAATCGTTGACGAACAGCGCTGTGCGTTCGTATGTCCAAGATGGCCACTGCCACGTGTTCGCTAATACGAACAAACCACCCAGCCGACCATTCAACAATAGGAAGTGTCTGCGGTTAACCACAACGTTCTAATGAGGCCAAGAGGTTAACAAACAGCACACTTCCCTGCTGGGTGGCCGGCCGTTATGCAATTCTTTCGGCAACGGGAATAAAGCATAGGAACCGGACGGACAGGGCAATACAATACATGAACAAACAGACAAACCGGCATAAAATAAAAGTAATTCAAAGACCAAGACGTCTTTCACACTCAGTAATATTATACAGTGATATGTTTATTATCAGTGTATAGATTCTCAGTATTACTATACAAGCAACGTGTTTATGATCAGTGTATTATACTCAGCATTAGTATACAGAGCAACAGGTTTATTACCATTGTATAGATACTCAGTATCATTATACAGAGCGATATTTATTATCACTGTATAGATACTTATTATTATACAGAGCGACATGTTTATTATTAGTATATAGATACTCAGTACTATTATACAGAGTGATATGTTTATTAGTGTATAGATAATCACGATTATTATACAGTGCAACATGTTTATTACCAGCGTATAGATACGCAGTATTATTAACCCCTTAAGGACACAGCTTCAAAATATCGTCTTACCCTTAAGGACTCAAACCATCTTTCATTTATTGCACCAACACTTATTATATACCTGTAGAAACATATGTGGGAAATTTAGGCGTTTATATAATTATCTATTTTGATATGTTTAAGGCCGAAGGCCTGTATTTGTTGGAGGAGTTAACGTTCCTATATAAATGCTACTCCCCCTTTCCTACCTTGCCGTATACGCATGCTGCTCATCCTGATTTTGTCTCTCTGTGACAGCTCCTGCCTCTCCGTCAGCAGAAACTTCCTGCCAGCCACACTTCCGGTTTCCCGTCATCTTTCCGCTTCCCGCCCGTTTGTGCAAGCTCACGAACCGACAAACGAACATTCAGGTAATCGGTGGGAATAGCCTCGTTTGGCTATTCCCGCCATACGACACTTGTACAAGTTATGTCCTATATTTCATACGCTCAAACTCACGGACACTCGAAACTCACGAACCCTCAATACCTGCTATACCAGGTTGTTCGTCAATTCATACTACATGTCAATCTGTGCTTTACTGTCCTTTCGGCTACGTGTGAGATAGGTAGGTCACTTTGTGTATGCACAGAGCTTCCTGTGCCAATTGTATGCTTGCTTTGAATGAACTGACTTGTAACTAAGGTAACATGTGATATTTAGAATACAACAGTACCAGATGTTGCCTTTTCTGCCATGAATTGCCATAAACAATGGGTATTGGGAATACAACTGTAACCGCAGGTGGTTCCCTTATTTACCATTATAATGTCTTAAAGCATAGAACTTAGTAGGGCTAACCATACAGATATCTTAGTAATAATTTTATATAGTTAGTAAGAGATCCTCTATTTAACATATATAAATAATTGAGAATACAATATAAAATACGGATTGTCTTGGAAGCAATAGTTTTGTCTCTTAGATATTTATTATATAAAAATATAAATATAGACATATAAAATCCATTATAGCAGAGTTTATAAGATGAAATTAAATGCTTGCAAATATCATTAATAGTTTAACATACCCTTCTGAACATGTCATCATGTCAGCCTCTCTGTCATTTTAAGATGGAGCAGTGTCTGTCTCCAAGTCTCTCCTCTGTTTCTTAACATTTAAAAGTACACCTATTTATACCTTAGGTGTCGTCATTCTAGGGTTACCGCAGTTCATGTATGAAAAAGTAACACTTCTTTTACTTTATTCATTTTAGGACCTCCCTTAATTTGGCAAACATACAAGGCCATTACTAAAGGGTGCATACGTCATGGAAATTTTCCTGACTTGGGGAAGTTCCATTAAATTGAGACAAGTCTGAATAGCTTATCTATTAAGGTTACCACAGTGTATTGGGTACTGAAAGAGTCATAGGATAGCATTGAAGCTTGTTTATGCATTATTGTTATTGTAATTCGTCTGGGACAAAACGACGCAAACATATTATGCACTGAGGTTATTGCTTAAAGAAACATCTATGAAAAACAATATGTTCCATTTCTAACACCTTGTCAGTTTGCAATATCTCTTAAAGACAAAGTACACAGTTTAAGAAATACAACATTTCATTCTAAAACTTGTAATATTTGCATTTGCCCATAACACAACCGCATGTGTAACCCCTATGGCCATCTCGATCCCTGGGGCTCAGAGGTCTCCTATGGTAAGCGGCATTTAGCTCTCACATTAAAGCTTCACTGCTCCCCTTGGCAACACATACAACAACTTAGTAGCAAAATGTACACGCTGGCAGAATTCAGACGGTCGACACCGCTGGTCTTACATTATGTCAAAATCCGGTTATTCCTCTTGCCAGTGACCCTTTCCAGAGACAGACTGTTCCGATGTTGAGGTCAATTTCCCATTCTCATAATACATGCTCCCAAGCAGGCTGGCATAATAACCGGTATTGCGATTAAAGTATCAATCTATAGTACACTTATACCGTTAGATATTTTTAAATTTTTTTTCACTGTACCTACGAACGAATCGTATGAGACCTGCATTCAGGTTACATTTCGACAGACTATTTGTTTTTTTTGTTCATTCATATCAATTATGTCTGTATAATTATCCGAAAATATGATCGTTGAAAGGTACCACTTCCATAGTTTCTTTCACATTTGCACCTATTACATTGCAACCTTTATACAGTTGGAATAATTGGGATTAACATAGGCACTGTAGTCTGTGAATTTCAGCATTTTCCTTAGCGATTTTGCAATTTTACTGTAACTGTCAGTTTCACTGTTTTAGGCTGCAACCAAACACTGGTGTGATACATTAATAACATGGTTTAAACAGGTCGCCTCGCCTCGACAGGCCACGGCTCCACTCAACTACTCGTCATACGTTACCAACAACTCACCTTCCCAAAATAACGTCATGAACTCCTTTAACACCTTTTCATTCCTTCACCATATTCCCTACATCAAATAATACCACGCTCCACCCGATGTGTTTTTATTGTATACATGCGTATACAATTCTCTGGATATGATTTGTGTTTTTTCTTATTACGTGCATTACGTTATACACAACCACTTCTTCAAATGTTATCCATTTATTTATTGTGGTCCTACATTGTGGGTAATTCCGTCAGTGTTTAAATTGCCTCCTTTTACAAGCATGCCATATTTTAAGGCTAACTTGAATTATGTTCATAAAACTGGAACATGGTTGTCGGTTGACTCAGACCGATCAGTTGACCGTACAATTGCCAGTCTCAATTACAATTACGTAAGTTTCGCAAATATTAATATAATAACTGAGGTTATCTATTATTCAGCCGCATAATGAGGTTATCTATCATAGTCTGCATAATGGTTTAATCTATACGGTTAATTAAGAGGAGGTTAGTAATGTTGGAGGTATCCTTAAGGATATCCTTTCCTGTTCAGAACCACACTTTAATTTCAAGTTCAGAACAACGTTCTATTATTTAGTTAGTTTTGGTTCTTTATTGTCTACTGTCTCTGTCAGGTACAACTACATTGTTGTTCACGTTTCAATCTACTGCCTCTACAAGGCCACACATTTTTACGATGGGGTATTGGGGTACGGGGGCTTGATTCCCGCCTTGCCTCGTCAGGCCACGGCACTACCCAACAATCCGTCATATGTTTATTCGAATTCACTATCTGTAAACAATCTAACAAACCTTGCTCATTTCACCCTCCTCTTTCCTTCAGGGCTGCCATGCTTTAGTGGCAAGACGCCTTCCTAAATCTCCCTTCAGGGAACTATAGTACCTATCCCGGGAATCTTCAGCACCCTCAGGGTCTAAGGATACTATACTATCAGCTATGTCCCTAAGGACTATGATATGCTAAACATCAATTTTATTTCAATTTTCTCTCACTCAACTACAGTTCCTTTTTTCTTCTTCTTTCTTCTTTCTTCCCCTCTTTTCTTTTCTCCCTTTCTCCAACTTGGGAACCTCAAGGTACTTTTGCAAATCACAACTTGGGTGTTGCTACATACGTCACATTACCTCCTAATCAAGCCCCCGTCTAGGGTCAGAGAACTGGCTATCTAGGGTTAGGAGCTGGCCTTAGCTGTACAACGTAGCTGGTCCCGCGAGGCCAACACCCCAATCTCAACACTGACTTTTGAACCCCTGGTCTGATTCGTGCCATTTTTTAATATGTTGTTCCCCTGAATGGATTGATTATGAAAATGTATGTTTTATGTTTGTGACATGTATATTTTAGAAGTTATAAATATTGTGTAAAAACTGTATTCCTCTGTCTGTGATAATGAGATTAACCATTGTGTTCAGTAATCATATCACAGGCAGAGGGGATGATTTTGTGTGGGAGTGCCTGTGTGTATTGTACGGATTAATTGGTTGTTCTGTAAAACCCTGTGGGCTGTACTGTGTTTGGGGATTGGGAATAAAAGAGGCTGTATGGGCCAGGACAGGGAGTTCCTGTTTTAAACCTCAAATTTAAGTGTTGTCTCATTCTTGGGGGAGGATTTATTGTATGCTGTTCCAGTTTGACTGCTAGGAGTGTAAACCTATTCGTATGGTTTCCTATTCAACTGTCTACAGCATTCATATGCTTGAGAGGATTTATATGCTTCTTCGGTTCGGTGATTGTGTTGTCTACCAGAGTGCTTGGAGTCCTCAGGAAACGCTAGGAGCATCCTTTAACAGAGGTACCCAGTCGGGGTGCCAGGCGATCCGTTACACCATTGTATGCTAATCGGAGCGGCGCTCTCACTCTCAAAGTTCGGGAACCAGGATATCCAAGTGGTCCAACTTCCAGCTAGCCTGGAGGTAACCATAACAGACACGTCATCTGCCCACACTAGATAGTGCTGTGAGATTCCCGCACATTCCCAGTTAAACACTTGGGCATGCGATTGGGAATTTCATCTATTCATTCATTCGTCATAAAGACGAATGAATGACTAGAAATTTCAGACGAACAAACAAACACTGAATATCAGTTTATTACAAGGAGGGAGCTACCACCACACGTAACTCCCTCCTTGTGATATGTAAAGATAGAAGCAGTGCTCCCCGCCACTTCCTAAGCCCCTCATGTCCTCCCTCACTCTATGGGGTCAATATGACCCCAATACTAGCATAAGGGAGATTAAAAAAGATTAAAATCTCCCGAATGCCCCTACTCGCTACATAGCGAGTAGGGGCAAGTCTACTAAACAGTGAGCCACCCGTTATAAAAAAAAAAAAAGAAAAAAGGGGCTTTTTCCTCCCCCACGACCCCCACCTCTGCACGGTGGATGGGGGCCTTAAATAGCAATAAGGGGGGGACCTATTGTCCTCCCCACCTGCCCCCACCCCTGAGCAACTGAAGATTTTAGAAAAAATATTTTAGAAAAAAGACATCAAATGGTAAGTTTTATTTTTCTTTACAAGTTAGCTATTTTATTCCCCCCTCACCATTTTTAGGATGAGGGGGATAGGTAGGGGATAGTTTTTTATTTGGGTGGGGGGGCTAGGGGCTTCACATTATTATTTAGGGCCCCAAACTGCCGCTCAGGGGTAGCAGCCGGGGAGGAGGATAATAGGTCCCCCCACTATCCGTTAGGGCCCCCACCTGGTTCCCAGGGGTGGGAGCCAGAGGGGAGGATAATAGGTCCCCCCTACTATCCTTTAGGGCCCCCGCCCGCCACTGACTGCTCACTGTGTAACGGATCACCTGGCACCCCGACTGGGTACCTCCGGTGAAAGATGCTCCTAGTGCTTACTGAGGCCTCCAAGCATTCAGCCAGACGCCATAACTACCGCGGACCCCACGCACCGCCGTAGCTTGGTTGGGGCCTCGCCATCTCCTATCCACTCTGGACCTATGACAAGGCTCCAGTCTCCAGTGGGTGATCCTCTCGTCCAAGAGAGTGAAGCAGGAACAAGCTCTTAAAAGAGCTTAGAAGTGATTATCTAGGGGAGCAGACAGAGCATATCAATCCCTTGTAGTGATATAGTGATTCCCCCAATAAGACACAAGACTCTAGATTGAGGGTTAGGCAGGAACAGAATGAACTGAGGTTTTATTGCTTCTTTTATACATATTTCTCCACAAGGTTACAACCCACGTGCTCTTGTGGAACAGCCAATCAACAACGTACAATACAGTCAGACACTCCCAGCAAATACACACAAACACTCCCCTCTGCCTGTGATTCAATTACCTCAACACAATGGATTAACTTTATTATCACAGGCAGGAAAAATACTGTATTCCACAATATTAATAACTTCTAAAATATACATACAATTCCCATAAAAAAAACATTCTGAATCAGCATACTCCACATTCAAACATATCCAAAAATCATACAAATCTGGCCAGTGGTTAAAAAGATAGCTGGAAGTCTTATTTGACCGACCGGAAGCATGGCTTTCCTGCCCAAAAGAGTTCCAGAGATTTGGGCTGTGCAGTGGTCTATTTTACTCTGAAAAAATGGCTAAGTCCCATTCAAATGCACTAACTTGGCAGTTCGTGCAAATAGCCTAGTATAACATGGCGTTCGAATCGTCGAAAGCACTTTGATTCCAGCTGAAGTGTCGAAGTTGCTGAGAAGGTATGGGTCAGCGGTGTTCGTGCCATTGTGTAGCCGTTTTCAATTCCATGAATTTGACGGCACACACCGCTGACCGCGTTCGAGTAAATAATGATGGCCGCCACCATGTGTTCGAATGTATGTACGGCGGCCATCCAGGGGTCGGCAATTAACCTGCGTTTAACCAACAGCCTGGGAGGTAAATTGACTGCACACTTCACCTTGTGTGTGGTCCGCCTGTTTGGTAATTAGTTTGATAAGCCCCATTTACCAAACCATATGGGAAATTTACATGCTCAAAGTATTTTAACAGTTTTGTGGACTCTGGGGACACAGTTTTAAAAGGGCACTGTTCCAATAAAAGTCCATAAGCCCCAAAAATGTTTTAAAGGGCCATACACCTCAGGGCCATAGTCAGTAGGCAAGAGGCTGGCAATTATTCTCCTCCAGGCACACTGTTTACAAGACATGCCCCAACTCGCGATTTAGCGAGTAGGGGCAGAATTTACTATTACTAAGTAACCTTTACTTAGTATTAGTAAATGTGGCTGAAAGACCAATTTAGGTCTTTCAGCGTTTTGGTAGATAGTTCACTAATACCGTGGGAATCAGGAAGTTATCTACTAAGTGGCTGCAAGATGCAGCCGCAGCAATGAATCGGATCGGAGTTTCATTAATTCAAATGAAATTCGGATACGAACAAAGTCCCGTATTGCGTTCTAACCCGAATGGAGAAACTGTTCTCATTCTGTTAGGACGCAATTTGTCAGCTTTGCCGGCGTTCTGTTTAAGTGACAGGACGTTCGGCAATACTGACAGGAAGCATTGCGGGAACAGGGAGGAAAGCCAAGAATTATGGGAAAATTTATCTGACCACCGGATATGAAGCACACTTTGCTCTTCCGCTGGTCATGGCGTAAGAAACCTCCATTAGGCAAGTAGTCCCTACTTTATCTCATAGAAAAAAGTCAAAATAGGATCAGCACTAAAAATGCCACAAATATGGGGGGTGTATGATAAATAGGCAGCACACCTATATACAGGGGAGTACCCTCCAATCCCCTATAAATAGTTAGAAATAGAGCAAGAAACAAAAGGAAGGGTGCGCCTTTAATACAAAAGATTATATTTAAATTGTATACATGAAATAGTTACAGACAGAGTCCAGGGTAATAGCCCTCAATAAATAAGGGAAATTCCTGTAGGGCAGTGGTGATTCGTCTCAGATGCAGACTTGTATTTTCAGTGCGCCATATGGGAAGAAGAACAGAAAAAAAGAGGAAATCCAATGGTACAGTAGGTAGGTATATATGGATATAAAAATATGTAAGTATTACTCACAATTTCCAGAGCTAAAATCCAGCTCTGGTATGAAATGCGTGAAGTGGAATGATCCCCACTAAAGGATATATGGAGTAACCGCTTAAAGTTCAGGCTTAGAAATAAAATAATAAATAAAATAAAAGCGAGAAAGGAAAGTGGCAACTAAAATATTTAGGGCCAAAATTTATTATAACAATATATAAAATTTTTAAAGCCATCTCTAGACTCGTTTCGCCTACAATAGGCTTCTTCAAGTAGAGTATAATAAAAACATAAACCTGACTTACAATGCTTTATATAGGATACATTAATTGTATTGGAATTCAAATATTCCCACCAAAATGACGTTATTATAACCTTAATTTTAAAATACATATCAAAATTGTATGGCAGTAATATAAAACACATATAACACATATATAAAAGAATAATTATGCATGTAACTTTAAGAAACAAGGTGCTGGTATGTTAAGAAATCGATATAAAAAGAGATCACGTGACGCGCGGCTAAAATCACTTCCACGTCACGTGGTTTAAATGAAACGCATGCGAAGTTAGCCGGCCGGGTGGGACAAATCGAACGTCGCGTCACCAAAGGGGAGGAGCCCTATGGTGATCACGAACGGAGGCAGTGTTTGCATGCTGTCTGTTCAAATAGACGAGCAGACAGCATGCTTACAGTTTGTATAAACGGAAGGAGAAAAGGTCTATTATACAGTTGGATTGATTCTGTAGGACAATAAAGAGCCAGACTCCATTTTTAAAGGAAGACTTACATAAGACTTGCATAATTGCAAAAAACGTAATACATATGTATATGCTTAAGATGCAATGTGTAAACTTTGAATACAATTAGTCATGAGTACAAAAGAAAATAATTACAAGGATAAATATTTAAACATGAACTAAAAAAATAAATAAAAAAAAAATAAATAAATAAAAAATAAATATATAATAAAATAATAAAAACAAGCATAAATATTGAAAATAGGGACTTATAGAAAATTAAAAAGATCAAACTGTATATTGAGACCCTGTGGGGCAAGAGTCTTTAAATTAAATGCCCGTTCCATCTCTTTGCTGCCTAGAATTTTTTCAATGTCTCCACCTCTCCAAGGGATACTGCAGGTATCTATACCTATGCATTTAAGAAGTATAGGGTTTTTTCCGTGTTTAAGAAAAAAAATGCTTAGATACTGAATGGTTTTCATAACCTTTTAGGATGTTCCGGCAGTGTTCTGCCAATCTGGTTTTTAATTCCCTAGTACTCATGCCCACATATTGAAGACCACATGGACATTCTAATAGATAAATAACGTTCTTTGTGCTGCAGTGAATAAAATGTTTTATAGGGTATGTTCTTTGTGTAATAAATGATTTAAAAGAAGTAGTTTTTGATTTAATTTTATCGTCCGTACGTTTACATACTATGCATTTATTGCATTTAAAAAAACCTTTGGGTTTATTTAAAAAGGAGGGGGGTGTAGGAAACTTGCATTCCGTGAGATATTTGTTTTCCAGTTTTCTGAACAAATCGAATCAGAGTGTCTTGCAGTTAAAACCGTATATTTATTACAATATACACATCATCCGGTAACAACAAAAGTCTGTTTTAAAATAGAGGAAAATTCATAGTTAAATTTAATAAATCAATGGTGAATTCATTATCTTGTAATTCATTAGTGAGGTTATATATTGAAATTTGAAAAATTGATACTGTATACACATTGATGAAGAGTTCTGAAAAATTGATAGTATATGCACATGAATTTGATAATATATGTACAAAAACAGTCAATATTTGATAGATCCCCTATTGTGACCTCATGTTTATAACAGGAATCTGCTGTCAAAAATGGCTATAATCAAATGTTCAAAAATTGTTATCCTTAAGGTAAATGGGATAAGTAGGAGCCAAAGGGAGGCAAGAAACTTAAAAATTTTTGAGAAGATATGGTGTATTATAGTCCAGAGTTTCTTGCAAAAAAGAGTCCAAACAAAAGAAAAAGAAAAAAAAGGAAAAAAGAAAAAAATAAGGAAAAAATATGGAAAAAATATATATAAACAGTCCCAGTGTGTACACACAATGGTATATGGAAAGATCTCACCGGTGGAAAATAGAGGTTCTGTAGTCCAATCTCTTTCAATGTGGCAATGGCACTTCTGTATTTTAAAGAGACCTTTGTGTCTTTCTTCCTTCCTCCTTTATCCGTGGTGAATATAGTGTGTCTCCTTACTTGCTCCTACTTGTTCCCGGGGTGTCAGGATACATCCATAGATTTCTTGCCAAAAATATCTTCTATATGTGCTGGTGCAGAGGCTCCTGTGCAGGATATGGGCTGCGCGCTCGGGATCTATGACATCCCTTCAATGGCCCTGTTAAAATAAACACGTGTAAGTCCTTTGTTTTTATGTGGTCTGGCGCGCCCGCTTAGATGCACGGGTCGCGCTCAAATGACGTCATGACGTACGCGTCAGAGGGTCGCGCCCAAATGACGTCATGACGTACGCGTCAGAGGGTTGCGTCTGTTTAGATGTAATGACGCACACGTGGGATTGCTATACCCGACGTGTGTGTCGTTGACTAACCGCAAATGTCCATGTAAACAATGAAATATAGTAATATACTGAAAAAAATATTGAAAAAAAACCCTAAAGTCCAATGTGAGCATCCTAACTATTACACAGAGTGCAAGCTAACTAAAACAAAAAACAAAAAACCAAAAAACACGATCCTCTAAAATCATACACATGAAAACAAATATTTCTAATAAAAGAGAAACTTATAGTGTCCCATTTTAGAACACAGTAGTCCTTTTACTAAATAGAGAGGATCCATAAACATGAAGTATTGAAATGGTCTTTCATTCTTATTAAGGTTTTAAGCAGGGAATACTAATTGTATATAAGTAAATCTGTTTATTTATTTGTTTATTTATATGCATACTGTACATGGTAACTTAGTGCCTAAGGGAGCTAAACAAGCTCATTGTTTCAAAAAAAGAGAAGAAAAAAAGGGGATAAAATTATTGATATATCTGAGAGAGTCTACGGACAGTGAGGGTACCCATATTTCTGATGCATTTTTTTTTTTTTTTTTGGACTCTTTTTTGCAAGAAACTCTGGACTATAATACACCATATCTTCTCAAAAATTTTTAAGTTTCTTGCCTCCCTTTGGCTCCTACTTATCCCATTTACCTTAAGGATAACAATTTTTGAACATTTGATTATAGCCATTTTTGACAGCAGATTCCTGTTATAAACATGAGGTCACAATAGGGGATCTATCAAATATTGACTGTTTTTGTACATATATTATCAAATTCATGTGCATATACTATCAATTTTTCAGAACTCTTCATCAATGTGTATACAGTATCAATTTTTCAAATTTCAATATATAACCTCACTAATGAATTACAAGATAATGAATTCACCATTGATTTATTAAATTTAACTATGAATTTTCCTCTATTTATGAGTGCAGTATCATTTTTGTATTTTGTATTTTTCTGAGGTACTTTTGGCCACCTCGATACTTTGCACCAATAGGGATAAAAGAGTGCTTGTACAAAAATTCTTTTTTTAAAATCATATGGACCAATAGACAATGTATATTCACTTCTAGATCTTATCCAAGCTTGATGTTAAAAGGTATTGGTATTCTATTGGTGGAATATTCTAGCTGCAAAAGGTATTTTATACATTTAAAATTCAATTACATAGGGCGTATACATAATGACATAAGGTTTGCCTGCTTTACAATAATTGGTTATCTAAGACAAAATAGGTGGTAACTTAGTATTATTCGATATCTATGATTAAAGCCATACGTTATGATGTTTTGGTAAGTTACACACAAAGACCTTCTTGAGACTTCTAATTACATGATGGAATGAATGATTCACAGGAATTCAGGCTTACAAGGCTAGGTCAAAGGTTATTATCAACAGGATCCACAAGTCTCCATCCATCATTCTTGACTTAAAACCATATGTGTGTAAATTACATTATGATAGTAATCTATCTGGGCAGGGGCCCTCGATGTCTGGATATGCTTAGAATAATAACTTACAATATTTCTACATTCCTACAACACGTTGAATACATTTAAAGTTTATAAAAATATTTTTCAAGTTCCCCTTTGATGCTTTTTATGTAAATATAATGCATCATAATTTATTCCATTTCCTTGTAAAACTTTAATTTTGTGGTCAGGAATTTACATCTGTATTCCACATCCATCAGTTGAGACCGTAAACGATTGATTATTTTAGACATATAACAACTAAAGAAGAATAAAACTATGATAATAATTATCAAAATTACCAAAGGATGAGTTATGAAGTGTGTCATACCCATAACTAATCCTGTCTTTTGTCCCCCAAACCACTGTTGCCACCAGGATGTGGTTTCTTCGATATAATCATGTTTAATGCTTTTAATCATACCTTGCACTGTATGTATTTGTACTAAAGTGTTATGTACTCCAGTCGCAGCTTTATCAATAACTTGTAATAACTCTTCATTGTTCTTTAACTGCTTATAGAAATCAACTCCGTAACCTATGTTTACATTATATAAAGTACGTTGATCATATTTCATAATAGAATCAGTCCTTTTTAGTATGGGTGGTATTATGTCATAATATTTACCCCTTATATCCTTGGTGGTTACTGACAAAGCAGGTCTCTTTGTGCAATAACTACCCGGTGCTAAGCTTACTGTCTCAGAACAATTTTTCTCATGTATTTCTGTTTTTCCTTCTATTTGATGCCAACATATCATGCCTTTATTGTATGTCCATGCTGGTTGAATTGGTATTTTATTTAATTTCATTTGACATGTGTCATTATTCTCCCAGCACCATGATACCTCTTCTAGAACATTAACACCATAAGGGCAGACATAATCACCATCGTTTAACAAACAATTTTCTATATTCAGCATGTACTCTACAGTTTTTACTCCCACTAGGATTTTATCATTTTGCTTATTATCCATTTTTATCCATTTAGAATTCACTATTTTACCCAAATCAATATACTTGAATCTGTTGTAATTAACTCCTCTAGTAGGGAGAAAAATAGCAAAAGCACAATTTTCTATTGTGTCTTCCAGACATCCTAACCATTGTGTATGCCAAAAAGCTCTGTAGTAAAAACTTATTTTAGGCACTTCAAGAGGGACTTCATAAGGCCATTGATGGTTAAAAAGAGCTTGCAGGAATATTTTTGCATTAGTATTGATGTCCATTTGTAAAGCTATACATCCTAAGGCTAAAGAGGTATCACTTGCAATCTTTTCCATTCCTACACTGATATTATACTTTTTATTAATGAGATTCTTAATAATGGAAATGTCTGTTCTGTAGTTGTTGATAACTGTTTGCATTTGTATCTTAGATAATAACAATGAAGCATCCTGTGATTTGCTACCTGCAGCTGCTAGTGTACTCATTCTAGCTGCTAATGATTCTATATTTACTCCATTTATCATACTTGCTCCTACACCTAAACCACCTAATACTGTGTTATACCACTCACGTTTTCTTCGTGTATTCACTGGTCTTGAGAAAGTGGTGTCTTGTTTTAACCAATAATAGAAATCTTGTTGTATTCCTACTGTATATTCCTGACATTGTGGGAATGTACGTGTAATGTCCCATTCTGACATGTTCAATGAATATGTGTATATACTAAATGAAGCCCCAAATAAGACTTTGTGATCATCATCTTTGTATATTCTAATGGGATCTTTTCCTTCCTCTTCTACAAGATTACAATCATCTGTTATTCTTTGTTCTGGAGTCCAATTATCATGAAATGTCGTGATTGTGAATGCATATGAAAGAGAAACCGTGTTTCCATTCCTATTTATTATATTTCTCATAACAAAAATAGGTGTCCATAACCATGAAGGTTTTCTAGATTTTGGATGCCAAGGCCACATAGTGACTTGGCCTGCACATTTAGCTGGGTTTTGATAGGTAAATGAGCTGTCTTGTGTTTGTTCGAGTACTTTTACTTTAGTATTTGTGTAAGGATTAACAAGTGTATCTATTAAGTACATGTAGCAAATTAACCCATCATCGTTAACACTTCTCACATTAAACATAGAAAGGGTAAGGGTGTTGTCTATACCAGTAGGTACCACACACCTACTCTCCGTATTATTTTGCATTATATATGTCCGATCCTTGTTAATATTAATGATTAAATCAACTCGTCCGTCAACTGATAGATATGTCATACATGGTTCTTGGTTATCATGGAATATGAGCGCACCGGATATTGCATCCTCAGATGTGTTTGCATTAATGCATCCACAATAATTAACATCAGGAGTCTTACAATATCTCACTTTACACTCATAGGGGAATGCTGTACATTTAGAAAAAGTATCTCTAATATCACAATCTGGAGTACCTGTACCTTGGGCATTGATTGTACCTAACATCATCATGATTAAAAACAGTATGATGCTGTGCAATTTTATAAAGGTTACATTATCAAGAAACCCCAATCGGTTTGATTTGGTCCGTGAAGTAATGTCCTCTCCAATCGCATTCATGAGAGCAGTCTTTTTGTCCATAGTGTCTTTTGAAAGTCCAAACAATTTGTCCTTTTTAAAATTAAACAGTCTTTGTCCATGAACAAACATTATTGGTTCTGTAATGAAAAACAGATGGCAGTTTACTATTCTTATACATTAGTGAGTTTACATTGATCAATATGCACAAGAATTGCTTTATTACATTTCCTACCAACTTTTGCTCTTTGAACCTGTAAGACAGTTTGTCCTAATTTCTTTAGAATAACATAAGGTCCTTCCCAACCTGCCTGCCAGGGACCTGGTGTTCTAAATGATTTTACCATCACTTTGTATCCTGGTTTAAACTTATCTGCATAATTCCCCTGAGTTACATCTTTAACCCATTGTTTACCAGAAGGGGCCATATTCAAAGCAGCAAACTTCAAAACTGACTGCAGCTGTTCTTGTAACACTTTTAACCATTCAGCATGTTCTGCAGCAACTTTGAAAGTACTTGGAACAAAAGGTTCATTGGGGAAAGTAATTGGCATGGTTCTGCCTGTCATTAACTCATGAGGTGACACTTGCGTTTTGGAGTTTGGAGTTGCACGAATAGACATTAAAACTCCTGGTAAGTGTGTTACCCAACTACTCCCTTTATCTTCAAGCATTTTTTTCAATCTAGATTTCAATGTCCTATATATTCTTTCCACTATGCCAGCCGACTGTGGATGATATGGGACATGAAATCTTTGTTGGATCCCCAACAATTTACACATTTCTTTAAGTACTTCTCCTATGAAGTGTGGACCATTGTCAGATTCAATGATTCTGGGAAAACCCCATACAGAAAATACATATTTCCATAGCGCCTTACATGTTGTTAGCGCCGTACAATTGGTAAGAGCTATACAATCCACCCATTTGGAGAATATATCAACAATTACCAATCCGTACTTTAGTCCTCCTGGAGCTATAGGTAATGGTCCAATAAAATCAATTTGTATAGAGTCCCATGGTCCTTTTGCCAAAGGTACTCTCTGCAATTTTGGTTTCTGACCTTTAGGTCTGGGATTAAATTGAGCACATATGAGACACTCCTGCACTATATTTGTACACCATTGTTTCAAATTAGGATGATAACATTTATTTTGCAGGACCTTAAACAGTTTTTCTGTACCCAAATGCCCTAGTGTACGATGATTGAATACAATCAACTCCTGCAATAACTCACTCGGTACAAATGGTACAAACGTTTGTGTTTCCTCATGTTTAATCCCGTACAAGCCAGTTTCTGTATCTAAATCCATTGTTTCTCTACTGAAAGCTACATCTTTACTCTGGTTTTCTTTCAGATCTTGTAGGGGATTTGATATTGGTCTTTTACTCACAGTTGCAATCATTAAATTTTCTGAGTATTGCAACTCTCCTATTAAAGCAGCTTCCTTTGCTCCCTGATCTACAAGTCTGTTTCCTTCTGCCATTTCATCCCCACTTTTCCTGTTTTGATGTGCTTGAACTTTAACAACAGCACAAGTTAAACCCTTTTTTTCTGCATAATTAAACAGTTCTGCCAAAATACCTGCATGTTTTAAAGCTTTGTCCTGTGAATCTACCATCCCCCGTTTTCTCCATATTGGGAGATGAAGTGTTAAAGCTTTAACTACATAGCTGCTGTCACTGATTATATTCACTGGGTCATATGCTGTTATTTCCAGAGCTTTCCTTACAGCCTCTAACTCAGCTCTCTGAGCAGACATAAGGCCTGGCAATTTATATCTCTGCATTTCTTTTGTTTGATCGTCATAAATGGCATAACCTGTGTGATGTGATCCATCAGCATAAAATCTTGTTCCATCCACATACAAACAAGGAGCCCCTTGTATTGCTTGTTTCTCAAAAGGAGATTTAGATTCAATTTCTAATTCCTTCTGACAATCATGAGGTGTTCCACTTATCTCTATCAATTCAGGAATAACATATCTCTTACTGCTTTCTACCTTGAGTGGTTTATCTTGTAACTTCAATATCCAATGAGCTACCCTCTGGCTATGTACTCCTAAATCAGAACAATTGTGTAACAGTTTTAAAGGTGTGTGAGGGGTTTGTAAAATTAGCTGTCCAAATCCTACAATGTGTTGTGTTGCTTCTAAAGCCCAACATACAGCCAAAAGCTGTTTTACACAGGAAAACATTCCCCTTTCCACTGGAGACATGATTTTAGAAAAATATCCCAGTATTCGTAAGGAGCCATGTTGCCTTTGCATCAAAACTGCTATTAATGAAGAGACACCTGCGTAACATTGAACAATATATGGTACTGTTTCAATGGGAGCAGCTAACACAGGCGCTTGTGTAAGAGCATCTTTTAACAGGTTCCAACTCTTTTCAGCTTCCTCTGTCCAGAGTAGCTTATCTGTATTAGCACTATCTTTTAGCATATTGTACAGGGGTTTTGCTATTCCTGCCATATCATAGATGAATTCTCTGCTAAAATTTACCAAACCTAAAAATTTCCTTAGATCAGACACTGTCATTGGCCTTGGCAATTGCTGTAACGCTTTAACCCTTGCTGTTCTTGGTGTTTTACCTGCTGGATCTATATTTACTCCTAAGAAAGCCACGCTTTCTTTCAAGATCTGCACTTTGAATGTGTTCAGTTTTAACCCATTATCTGCCAGTGCTTGACAAATATCACACAGTATCTGCTCATGCTCTTCCCTTGTTACTGTTTGAACCAACAGATCATCAACATATTGCAAAATCTTGTTCCCATACCCCAGGGGTTCCAATACTTGAGCCAGTGCTTTATGAAAATAAGCTGGCGAGGAGTGGAAGCCCTGTGGCAGCACCTGGAACAGATATTGATGATTTTTAAAGGTAAAAGCAAAACGATACTGTCTATCTGGGTGTACTGGTATTGAGAAAAACCCATTGGCTATATCCAGAACAGAAAAATACTTAGCATTGCCGTCTATTTGAGCCATGATATCTGGTGAGGAGGCCACTATATGGGCTGCTGGTGGGGTATACTTATTCACCACTCGCATGTCCACAATTAAACGATAAGAGCCATCTGGCTTGATTATTGGCCAAATGGGGGAATTACATTTGGAATTACCCACTCTCAGCACTCCTTGAGATACCAATGCCTCTATCACTTGACTCACACCTTCTTCTGATTCTTTTGGAATTTTATATTGTTTTACTGCAGGAGGGTCTGGACCTTCAATGACAACTTGTAAATTCATTCTCCCACAATCTTGTTTAGATTTAGACCATACTGTGGGGTATTTTTCTTTAAGATAGGTTATAAAATCATCATCTTGTTGTGTGGAAGGTGACACTTCACCCTGTTTTACAGACATGACATGACTATACCATCCTAAATCATTAGGTCTAACCACTCCACCTGATTTGCTCTCACCTGGAGCTTGCCACAAAACCAAATTCAATAAATCCACATACAACTTTTTTCCATTGATAACATCCATCCCCAAAATAGTACAGTGGGATGAGAGGTCGACCCATAAGTCACAATTTATTTTACCTCCTTCAAATTCAATGTCATTATCAGTGGATAGAGTTGCATGGGCATGTGCTCCATTAAAACTTAGAAGGGAAATTGTTGGTGCTTCAATTTTTAAAGGCAAGCTTTTGTTGGTTAAAGACACTGCAGCTCCTGTGTCTACTAAAAACTCTGTTATATTCCCCTCTAGTGTTCCATAAATATATGGCCTTCCATCTTCACCCAGAGTAATATCAGTGAGATAGACCAGAGAACAACTAGGGGTTACACATCCCTATTTATTAGTGTGGTAAGCAGAATTCACTTGTGGACTTGTGACTGCTTCCACCTTCATTTCAATGGCATTTAACATCCGTCTACACTCTTCATATGGATTTGATATTTGAGGGGGGTTTGAAGATGTATTTTCGGTTTCTACAGCTGCCACTCTCTGTAGATTCTTATAGCCTGGCACAATGCCATTTTCTTTCCCTTTCACTGTGTAAGATTTTTCTTCATTTTTGGGACAATATCTCCTAACATGACCTTCTTGGTTGCATTTATAGCATATCATAGGACTATTCTGACTAACCCTATAATATCTATCTTGGGATGGGGCCGAATAATTTCTAGTACCCTGGTAATTTTGTGGTTTATTCATAGACCTCCCTCTAAAATTACCATTTCTATTATTATTTTCATATCTTCCTCTACCTTCTTCACGAGACACATAGTTAATAGGGGCCAGACCTGCTGAAGTATCCCTAGAGAAAAGTGTGCCTGTGAACGCAAAAATCTTAGCTGTTTCTGTGTTTTTCTTTTGCAACAATTGCAAAGATTTCATTATTTCCGTAGCAGCAAAATCAACTGTGGGTGAATCAAAAGCTCTTAATTTTATCTCATTTGGCAACCCTGCTATTCTAGAGACAAATTCAGTAACACTCTGCTTATGTTGTTCTTTAGACATAGCAGATGGTTCTGTATCAGTAATCAAATTCCATGCCTTATTCCACAAATTAGCACAAACACGTATATCATCATTTTTCTCCATTTTAAATGAATCAAGAGTAGAAAATTGAAAATTCTCCACACCAGTTGCACACTGTACCACCATTAGCAATCTCTGTGTATTGTTTGGAAACAATTCCTCCAACTCAACTCGGGGCTTTTCACTTGACTTCTCTTCCAACACATCAATGAGTTTAACTTTAACCCATTCACTTAATGAAGTTGGCAGCCAGATCAAAAGACCTCTTGTGGCTACCACATCATCAAATTGTCTTTTATTCATTTCACCTTCAAAAACACTCATATTGTAAAAAGGTCCTCTCTTCTCATCATATTTAGGCAAATCCTTAATCAATTTAGCTAATTTGAGAATATCCAACTGACCCTTTCCTTGTACATTTCCCAATTTATTTTCTATTTCACTTCTCGCCTGCCCGTTTTCACAACTTAACCTTTGAGCTATTTCATTTTCACTTTCCTCTTTCAAAGTAAAATCCAAATCTTTCTGATTTGTAGCTTTCCACAAAATATCTGTAGCACTACCCAGATTAGTAATCTGTCTCTGCAAATTGTCAAAATTAGTAACATTTATGTCTAATTCTTTAGACATGTGAGACAGGGTTTTATGGGTTCTATCCAACAAATCAGTCTGATTTCTAAGCATTTCTTTCATTATATTAATATCTTCATTTTCTTGATCCCTACTAAAACTTTTCAACAATTGCCGAGAATTTTCTATTTGAGTTTTTGTTTCAGTTAACGTGGATTCCAAGTCACTATCAAAAGAGAGACTTGGGGGCAATCTCCCTTCTGTTAACAGCTTTTGTGGAGATTTCACAGTTTTGCTGGGGGGGCTAGGGAAATAACTAGTCCTTGTGACAACACATACATTTTTCAGTTGTTTTAACAAAACATCCCTTTTTTTGTTTTGTTGTACTACATACATAACAATTACTGGTCTTTTTAAGTTGACACCATTCATTCATTGCATCATTAGTTTCCAAAAAGCTCTTTGCCAGTAATGCAACTTTTTGACTTTCCTTTTTAAATACATTGTTGTGCTCTATCTCACTTAATCCGTCTATTAATTTCAATAAACAGTCATCCCATATACTTTCAGGATTAACACCTTTTACAGAAAGATCTCTATTAGATCTGGCAGCAATCCTTTGCAGCCACTCCATAATTAACTTAAACAGTTGAAACACTTTGTTTAACAAACAATATATATATGAGAGCACTTTTTACATATGATTTAAAACAAGACACATACCCATTAAGTACTCTGGTTCCACAGATATGGCCACTTTCTGATAGAAGAATACTTTCTGGAATATGTAGTTATTCTTGAGAATCCTCCAAAATGCAATCTTCGATCTGCACGTCGTCACAAATTACTTGATAAAGTGTGGATAAAAAGGACCCGGATTGTCCATCTCAATTATTTATCTTCAAATTCTTGCTTCAGTACTGAACATAAACATCTGCCGCGTTCGAACGACTTTCTCACCCTGCCTCACCTCCGTCTTCGCATCAGACCTGGGATGTTTAAACAAAGAATCTTTGGGATGCACTCCTGCTGTGTCAGTTAGTCTCTTGTTTTTCTCCTGTTTCAAGCCGGGTAATACAGCTTTTCTTCAGAGAACAATTTCAACTTTTCTTCAGCGATTTTCTTATCTTCTTGTCTTCTTGTAGTTTGTAGCAGAACACTTAAATATTAAGTCAGTAATAATTCAGACTTAACTCAAAGTTGCCTTCTGACTTAAATCCAAGATGCCCGCATTCTCCACCATTAAATGTAGGAAATTTGCATTCCGTGAGATATTTGTTTTCCAGTTTTCTGAACAAATCGAATCAGAGTGTCTTGCAGTTAAAACCGTATATTTATTACAATATACACATCATCCGGTAACAACAAAAGTCTGTTTTAAAATCATATGGACCAATAGACAATGTATATTCACTTCTAGATCTTATCCAAGCTTGATGTTAAAAGGTATTGGTATTCTATTGGTGGAATATTCTAGCTGCAAAAGGTATTTTATACATTTAAAATTCAATTACATAGGGCGTATACATAATGACATAAGGTTTGCCTGCTTTACAATAATTGGTTATCTAAGACAAAATAGGTGGTAACTTAGTATTATTCGATATCTATGATTAAAGCCATACGTTATGATGTTTTGGTAAGTTACACACAAAGACCTTCTTGAGACTTCTAATTACATGATGGAATGAATGATTCACAGGAATTCAGGCTTACAAGGCTAGGTCAAAGGTTATTATCAACAGGATCCACAAGTCTCCATCCATCATTCTTGACTTAAAACCATATGTGTGTAAATTACATTATGATAGTAATCTATCTGGGTAGGGGCCCTCGATGTCTGGATATGCTTAGAATAATAACTTACAATATTTCTACATTCCTACAACACGTTGAATACATTTAAAGTTTATAAAAATATTTTTCAGGGGGGCAGAAAAAAGAGGTAGTATGGCTTTGTTTAGTATAGTTTCTTGTAAGGATGGATTTAAGGCTGGGTGCCCCTCTGAATATAACGTGTGGTTTATCGGGAATAATACCAGCTAGAGTCTCATCCTGTTTTAATATATGCCAATGTTTGTTGATAATATTTTTCATAACATTATTTTTGTTATTGAAGTCAAAGATAATTGGCAATGTTAAGGGCATTTTTGGAGGCTTTATTCTCTCTGTACTCCAAAAGGTCTGATCTCTCTTTCTCCCTAACATATTTTATGGTTTGGTTTAAGTTGTTTGAGGGATATTTTTTTTGAGAGAATTTTCTTTATAGCATTTGAGTTTGAGCCTCAAAATCTTGTGTAAGGGAACAGTTCCTTCAAAGGCGAAGGAACTGGCTCTTGGGTATTCCATGGAGCCACGGTTTATAATGGCAACTCGACATATCAATCACATTATTTGTACATACTTAAAAAAAAAAAAAAAGTTTTAGTATGAACCTTATTGTTTTGAATAAAAATTTCCAAATCTAAAAAGCGGATAAAAGATTGACTGTATTCATGTGTTAAAACTATACCATTATTGTTTTGATTTAAAAAAAGTAAAAACTGGTTGAGGGAGTTTTCTGTGCCTTCCCAAATAAAAAATAAGTCGTCAATATATCTAAAGTATGTGACCAGGTTTGCCTGCCAGTCATGCTCTCCAAAAATTGCCGTGGATTCCCACTCTGCCATAAAAAGGTTAGCATAACTGGGTGCAAACCTGGTCCCCATAGCACTCCCTTGTTGTTGTGGATAAAGAGTCTAAAAACCCCCCCAAATTTTTTTTTTTTAAATAATATTAATACCTTGAATTATAAAACTTATCTGTTGGTCTGAAATTCTATTTTCTGCCCTTAAGATTTTTTCAACTGCAGAACAACCTTTATCGTGAGGAATGATTGTGTACAAGGATTGTACATCACACATAACTAAAAAAATATTTCTTTCCAAATAACATTATTTAAAAATCGGAGTAAAGTCATTGAGTCTTTTAAATATGATTTCATACATTTTATTGAAGGTTGTAAAAGCATGTCTAGATATTCAGATAAATTAGATAAAATTTAATTGATCCCTGATATGATAGGCCTACCAGGAGGGTTAATAGCATCTTTATGGATGTTTGGTAGGAAATAGATAACAGGGATTTTTGGGTGAAAGACATTTAGAAATTCAAATTCTTGTTTATTTAAAATATTTTGGTCTCGGCCACTATTTAAAAAAGAGGTTAAAACTTGTTGGATTCTTGGGGTCGGATCTTGTGACAATTTCTCATAAACCTTACAATCATTAAGTTGTCTCATAGCTTCTCCCTCATACATATCTTTAGACAATATTACAATCCCTCCACCTTTGTCAGCTGGCTTTATAACAATGTTTACATCTTTTTGTAATTGTAAAAGTGCCTTGAGTTCTGGTTGTGAAAGATTGTCTCGATTATATTTTTCTTTTTTGATTTTTTTCAAAGTCTTTTGTTACCAATTTTTCAAAAACCTCTGGGTTTCTGTTTTAAAACTTGATGGAAAAAAAAGTAGAATTCTTTTTCAGAGAGGTAGATATTATATTAGGGCAATCTTCTGATGAGGTAACTGAGTGTTGAGGGGTAGATCTGAGTTTTTACTGGCAAAAAAATCTTTTTAGAGTGGACTTCCAAATTTATTTATATCTATAAATGCTTTAAATGGCTTGTAAGGATTCATTGGAGCAAATTTCAGTCCTTTGCTAAGGACTGATATTTGTGTGGATATTAGAGCTTTTTGGGATAGGTTGAAGATGCCAAGTTCCTTCTCATTTATAGGGGTTATTGTCGATCTAGCCTTTCTCTTTTGTGCTCTTCTCCCACTTCTCCTTCCTCTAAACTTAGGCTCCTTTTCCTTGTTTTTATAGGATGTGCGTTATCTTATGTTTTAAAGAAAACGAGAGCAGACAGGAAGAAATGAATAACAGATCCTGACAGAGGGAAAGAAGAGGAATCGATTGGGGAAAGGTAAGTTCGGCATGACCGTGCCGCTTTAATTTTTTCTCAGTCACTATGACACCTGATGGTCGTATTTCTTATCTATTAAAAATAAATTGTCATTTTTTCTAAGTATTGCAAACAATAATTTATAGTCGCCGATTTCCTTTAACTCCTGGTATATTTCTTTCAGGTGTATTTGTAAGGAGAGGTTATACTGAAAGTGGTGACAAGAACAGAAATACACAAAGCAAAGCTATGAAGAAATCTTTTAATAACCGCACCAAGGACTTTCACGCTGAAAAATCAAGCATTTTCTCAGATTCCTATATTTTCTCAAAGGAGATAGTAAACATAAACCCCAAACCTTTCTCATGTTCTGAAAGTGGAAGATGTTTTAGTCATAAAGAAACTCTTGGTAGACATCAGAGAAATCACACAGAAGGGAAACCTTTCTTTTGTAGTGAATGTGGAAAATGTTTTGTCACTAAAGCAGTTCTTGTCCGTCATCAGAGAACTCACACAGGAGAGAAACCGTTCTCATGTTCTGAATGTGGAAATAGTTTTAGGCACCATTCAACTCTTGTCAGTCATCAGAGGACTCACACAGGAGAGAAACCGTTCTCATGTTCTGAATGTGGAAATAGTTTTAGGCACCTTTCAAATCTTGTCAGTCATCAGAGAACTCACACAGGAGAGAAACCATTCTCATGTTCTGAATGTGGAAAATGTTTTGTCACTAAAGCAGAGCTTGTCAGTCATCAGAGAACTCATACAGGAGAGAAACCGTTTTCATGTTCTGAATGTGAAAAATGTTTTGTTTGTAAATCACAGCTTGTCAGTCATCAGAGAACTCACACAGGAGAGAAACCGTTCTCATGTTCTGAATGTGGAAAATGTTTTAGGCACCATTCAAATCTTTTCACTCATCAGAGAACTCACACAGGAGCGAAACCATTTTCATGTTCTGAATGTGGAAAATGTTTTAGGCACCATTCAAATCTTTTCAGTCATCAGAGAACTCACACAGGAGAGAAACCATTCTCATGTTCTGAATGTGGAAATAGTTTTAGGCACCATTCAAATCTTTTCAGTCATCAGAGAACTCACACAGGAGAGAAACCATTCTCATGTTCTGAATGTGGAAATAGTTTTAGGCACCATTCAAATCTTTTCAGTCATCAGAGAACTCACACAGGAGAGAAACCATTTTCATGTTCTGAATGTGGAAAATGTTTTGTCACTAAAGCAGAGCTTGTCAGTCATCAGAGAACTCATACAGGAGAGAAACCGTTTTCATGTTCTGAATGTGCAAATAGTTTTAGGCACCTTTCAAATCTTGTCAGTCATCAGAGAACTCACACAGGAGAGAAACCATTTTCATGTTCTGAATGTGGAAAATGTTGTGTCACTAAAGCAGAGCTTGTCAGTCATCAGAGAACTCATACAGGAGAGAAACCGTTCTCATGTACTGAATGTGGAAAATGTTTTGTTCGTAAATCACAGCTAGTCCGTCATCAGAAAACTCACTTAGGAGAGAAACCGTTCTCATGTTCTGAATGTGGAAAATGTTTTAACCGACATTCAAATCTTGTCATTCACCAGAGAACTCACACAGGAGAGAAACCATTCTCATGTTCTGAATGTGAAAAATGTCAGTCATCAGAGAACTGTTCGTGGAAAATCACAGCTTGTCAGTCATCAGAGAACTCACACAGGAGAGAAACCGTTCTCATGTACTGAATGTGGAAATAGTTTTAGGCATCCTTCAAGTCTTGTCAGTCATCAGAGAACTCACACAGGAGAGAAACCGTTCTCATGTACTGAATGTGGAAATAGTTTTAGGCATCCTTCAAGTCTTGTCAGTCATCAGAGAACTCACACAGGAGAGAAACCATTCTCGTTCTGAATGTGGAAAATGTTTTTGGCAACCTTCAACTCCTGTCAGTCATCAGCGAGCTCACACAGATGATGAGTCTCTAAAATTGTATTATGCATTAACATAGAAATGAAATATCTTGTTTTGTGAATTTTGATCATGCTGACACAGTAAATAGTAATTGTGATAGTAGCAGTCAATATACATATAATGTCTTTCCGTCAACTCAGGATACATTGTGGTTGTATGTTCTGTTTGTTACAGAGTGAAAGGTTACTTCCCCCAGCCCCCATGTTAATATAGACCATTGCAGCTCCACGGGTGCACAAGGTTACATCACCTTTTCTCTAACGGGACTATGGTTGCATTCCCGGACCTACAAACCTGATACGACTTACCAAATAAAGCGATATTCCCTACCTACAACTCAAGTCCCTTCTGGGGTCTTTGACCTCCCCCCCCAAACCCCATCACCTGCAAGAGTTTCACACACATTCACTCGGATAGAGGAGATATGTATGTCCACCAAAATTCCCTGCAAAACCATCTCTTTAACATACCACTTGACAGTGGCAGAGGAAGTACCGGACAAACATGTCCTAGCGTGGTACGTGGACTTACACACCACATACACCATGGAACACTGACTGAAAGCCTACACAGCACACAAAGGGAAAACAGCTTGTATTTTGACGCTGGGCCTATGTGCAATTTCCAAGCGATTTTTCTGCCTTTTTGACACACAAAGTGAGTTTGCACAGTATATTTTGCAAACCTTATGTGTGCTACCACTGTATAATACTTCATATGTTGCTCAGCTATGTGGTCTGAGTACAGCAATACCCCCGTATGTACCTTTGCCAGGTATATGTGGATGTTGAAGGGGCACATTTGAGACGCAGTCATTCAGTTTCTTTCTAACTCTGAAGTTTTATGCTGTGTCCATGTTCTAATTTGGAATAGTTTAGATGGTTGGATATTAAAACTTCCCCACAAACACATACTATTTATTAAAGAATGCACCCTGGGGTAATTCAAAAGGCATATTTTGAACCTTGGCGTGGGAACATTTTTTCTCTAGTTTGTTCCAGGTGTAGTGGTAATGAGCGTTTTTAAATATATTTTTTAACTTTTTAAAACTTTTTTACTTTTTAAAACTATTTTTTAAACTTTTGTTTTGCTTATTAATTTTTTTAAAGTTTCCTAAACTTTCGTAAAGCTTTTTTTTACAGATTTAAAATTTTTCTAAGCTTTTTTTTTACCGTTAACCCCTAACTAGCAGTAAGCAGCACTAACAGTAAATTCCCCATTTTCCCATAACTCCCACTCACCCCAGCTAGCAAAATATTTAATTATACAATATTTAAATTAGTTAATTAAATAAATGTAACCCCTGAGGGTTAAAAAATAAATAAAAGTTAATCGTCAGGGGTTAAAAAAATTAGATCACAGTATAATACTGTGATCTGTATTTTGATCACTGTAGGCAGTGATCGACTGGCAGGGAAGGGGTTAATTTTTATTTGGACTGGGTAAAGGGTTAATTTTTTTTGTTTTACTTAAACGTTATTAAAACTTTTTTAACTTAATTTTTTTACTTTTTAAAGCTTATTTTAAAACTTTTTTTAACGTTAACCCCTAGTTAGCCTAACACTAAATCCCCCAATTCCCAACTAACTTCCACCCTCCCCAGCTAGCTAAATTTATAATTTTAAAATATTTAAATTAATTAATAAAATAAATTTAACCCCTGAGGTTTAAAAAAAAAAAATTAACCCTCAGGGGTTAAAAAAAAATCCGATCATAGTAAAATGTAATCCCTGCCAATTGATCACTGTAGTCAGTGATCAATTGTCAGGGAAGGGGTTAATTTTTTATTGAAAGGGGTAAAGGGGGGTGGGATTTTAAACTAACTTTATTTTTTTTAACAGGGGGCAGGATCACTGATGATCCATCTCCCTGCACTTCACAGTGAACCCGGAAGTGCAGGGAGGCGGAGGTGAGTATACTGAGCACATGTGCTCAGTCTGACATGCTGTCAGAGCAGGCACATGTGCTGGGGCAGCACTATCGGGTGCTCCCGGTCTGCCTCTAATACAGAGGCAGACTGGAGCACCATTAACCCCGCGATTGCGGCGATCTGGGGTTCATTTTAACGGGTGACTCGTCGTTAAGGGTTTCCCATGACTGACGGACCTCGTCTGTCACTCGTCGTTAAGGGGTTAATGACCAGTGCTGTTTTAACACGTTTGTGGTGTTTGTGTTTAGCTGTAATTTTCAAGTTATATATTGTTTTTTGTTTTTTTTTGCTTTCTTTACATACCGTTATTTGTATCATGTCATATATTTTACTTAAAATAAAAATAAGATATGGCGAAAAATTTAAATAAAAAACATGTTTTGGGATTTTACTTGAAAAATATTTTACTTATCTACAAAAGCTAATTAAATAACTGCTACATAGATTCTAAATGTTGTCCCGAGTTTAAAAACACCCAGTGTTTACATGCTTTTTTTTTTGTGCAAGTTATAGTTTGTGACTAAGTGACTACTAAAAATGGTTGAAAATATACCCCATTTGTAGTACCTTGGGTTGTCTTCTTTTGCAAATAGTATGCCATCATGGGGGTAATTCTCTTTCCTGGGCTACCATACGCTCTCAAAGGCAACATAACCAATCTGGCAAATTTCAATGAAAAAAAGTAAAATCAAGCCTTATATTTGACCCTGTAACTTTCAAAAGCACTATAAAATCTCTACATGGGGGGTACTGTTATACTCAGGAGACTTTGCGGAACACATATATTAGTGTTTCAGAACAGTAAAGCATATCACAACAATAATATTATCAGTGAAAGTGCTGTTTGTGTGTGAAAAAATGCCAAAAATGTCACTTTCACTGACAACATCATCGCTGTGATATGTTTTACTGTTTTGAAACACTAATATTTGTGTTCAGCGAAGTCTCCCGAGTAAAACAATACAGGTTTTAGGGTGTCATAAAAAGCTACAGGGTTAAAGGGACTCTCCAGTGCCAGGAAAACAAACTGCAGGTCCCCTCTCCCTCCCACCCCCCATCCCAGGTTGCTGAATGGGTGAAAACCACTTCAGTGACTTACCTGCATCCAGCGCTGATGTCCCTCGGCGCTGGTTCAGAGTCCGCCCACGCTCTGATGGGGGAGACCTAATGCGCATGCGTGGCAATGCCGCGCGCGCATTAGACCTCCCCATAGGAAAGCATTGAAAATGCTTTCAACGCTTTCCTATGGGGATTTTAGCGACGCTGGAGGTCCCCACATAGCGTGAGGACATCCAGTGATGCTATAGCTGTGCTATTATCCCGGAAGTGCTCTCTAGTGGCTGTCTAGTAGATGAAAACTGCAATATTTATAGTTGCAAGGTTAAGGATATTGGGAGTTGGCATTCAGACCACTCCAATGGCGCTGGGTCTGACTCCGCCTACTCTCCTCCGCCACTGACGTCAGCAATGGCTGTACACTCGCATTAGACCTCCCCATAGGAAAGCATTCAATGCTTTTCTATGGGGATTTCGGCGACGCAGGAGGTACTCGCATAGCGTGAGTACGTTCAGCGTCATTTAAAACACTTTCATTTTCTAAGAACACGGAAGGCCCTCTAGTGGCAGCCTGATAGTTATGAAAACTGCAATATTTACAGTTGCAGGGTTAAGGGTAGTGGGAGTTGGCACCCAGACCATTCCGATGGGCAGATTTGGTCTAGGTGCCTGGAGTGTCCCTTTAAATATAATGCTAACAAATTAAATTGTCTGGATATATTTAAAGTCTACATGTATATTTATGAAATTAATTATGTAATGTATATTGACATATGTATATTTTGTATTATATTTATTTATAGATACATAGATATATATATCATTTCATTCGAAGTGTATTTTGAGATATATAATTTTTTTTTAAAATTTACAATTATTTTTTACATTTTTTAATTTATTTTTATTTACGTATTGTTTATATTTTATAATATATATATGTATGTAATTTAATATAAGTGTATTTTGATATAAATATATGTATAAATATAAAAATACACTTAGTTTGACATTATGTATATAAAATAGATATACATATTATATAGATATAATACATGTGTGTATATATATCTTATATAATAATTTTTTTTGATTGCTTTTTTTTTTATTTTATTTTTTTTTATTTTACACTTGCAGGGAGACTACTTGTCAGCACAGACAGTCCCCCTGCAGACACCTATTGCGGCCATGTGACCGCTCTGTTAGAACGATCACATGACCGCGGAGTCCTAATTTGCTGAGGGTGGACTGCCTGGGCTGTCAGGAAGTCCCCTCGGTCCAGGAGAAACACTGATCGCTGTCAGGGAAACAATGGCAGTAAGGTAAGTACCCCAATTACGTTATGACGGTTCAGGACCGCCACCAGTCCTCCAGGGGATGTTTCCGATGACTGTCCTGAACCGTCATCCGTCCTTAAGGGGTTAAAGATTAATTAAGACTAGATTCAGTTAAGTAAATATATATGGGTAGTGGCTTGATATGCTAAACTTGGCAAATTACCAGTAAATATATTATTGTATTCCACCTGCAGGTATGTGATGTGGAACCATATATTTCCTCAGCTAAATATAATTTCAAAGGTTTGAAATCTGATCAGCATTATCGAGGTATATTTATGCTTAAATTAAACCAGCACATTTACCACCTTTCTTGGTATAAATTATTTAGGCTTGGAGCTATATTCCGGGAATGGTGAATGCAAATGGAGATTTGAGTGTTTTAGGAAGTTCTGATTAGTAAATAATTTTAACAATGTCCTCGATTCAGTTAGAATGTTACGTTTTCAAAGTCCCAGAAATTCATTTGGAAAAGACAGTGTGTTAGATGTGTCCAGAGTGTGCCTTTAGCCTTTCCCCCCCTTCACCTCTGTAACAAAACCCTGCCATGTGCCTGGGAATCTTCCCTGTTACCGGCCCTTTAAGAACTAGCCAGGGACACAGACTAAAACAGAGACCTTGGATTAAAAGTACATAGGACCTGGCAGCAAACTAAGTAAAACTGATTGCAGGCTGCCAGTCATGTTAGTCTCCTAATGAACCTCCTTATTATCAAAGAATCCAAGCAGCCTTTGGTAATAACGTGGCAAATTGCCTGATTGTCTGAAAAGCACTGTACCATTTTGCCTGACCACAAATGGCCCCATGTTACTGCCACGGCTACAATGGGGTACACTTCGAAAAGCGCTGAGTTCTTGTAGTACTCCTCTATATCTTGTACCTCCTCAGGCCAACTACCCCAGAACCATTTGTTGGCTGCGAAACCTGTGGTAGTTGCTGCATCCATCCAAATGACAGGGGAGTAACATGCTTCTCCCATTCCAGTTCGAGAGAAACATGTTCCACATAAGTAGATCTGCTGTGGCTTGGGCGTTTAAGGAGATGCAGCTTTGGTCATCAGGGAAAGTGGTTAGTAGACTCAAGAGTCTGGAAATGAATGCTCTACCCTAATTGTGAAGTTTAGTGAGCCTAGCAGTGATTGTAATTCTTTCCAGTTATATGAGCCAGTATATCTGTAATGATTGATGTAGTGGAGGATGATCATGGTTTTTCCCTGGTACAGATCGGCTTCCATGGCCACAAATCTAGTTGTATCTCTAAGAAATTGATAATGGTGTTGGGACCCTCTGGTTTTTTTTTTTTAATTCTTTATTTTTGTGGGTTTGCAAGTCAAGATAATCAATTACAGCATGTGCTCAGAGAGATAAAGTGTAACATTTTACATACTAGATCATCATTACATGTTATAAAGTCGCACATGTGCGTCGTCTACCCATTTTTGTTTTGTGAGTCAGGCTAATCCTCCTCTTATCTGTATAGAAGAAGTATAGCAATATGTCTGGGAGGGTTTGGGTGTTAAGCTTAGTTTGCCCTGCAGATTGGTTCAGGGTGTCGTGCCTTGCCTGGGGCTAGTACGGTAGGGGGTTGGGGAAGTGTAATCGGTATGGCCTGTGAATGCTCCTGCCCTTGTGTGGGCACTCAGGTCGGTCTGAGTTTTCCAGGTGGGTCGCTTACCACTTGGTGTGAAGGTATAGACTAGTTGTTAAGACCCTACTCTGTCTTCGTAAGGGTGGGGGAGGGGGGGGGGTATTTGCGTAGGACATGTCTTGGGCAGTCAGCTTACGGAGCCAGGGTGGAGTTGGTATCCCTTAATCTGAGCTGTGGGGACCCTCTGTTTTTTTAAGTGAGACTGGTACCCCTAGTAAATTAAATAGCTTTAACCAAACTACGTGAGGGTGAGGAATTGCTTTCGATGAATAAGAAATCGTCTAGGTAATGTATGACGGTGTGGCACTAGCACATATTCAGGAGGAGTCAACACAGAGTTTCTACAAAGGTATCAAAAATTCTTGCAAAAACGTGGATAAGGACTAGCGCTTATTACTAAATTTCTAGTGTGCCAATGTACAGTCAGGTCCATAAATATTGGGACATCGACACAATTCTAATCTTTTTGGCTCTATACACCACCACAATGGATTTGAAATGAAATGAAGATGTGTTTTAACTGCAGACTTTCAGCTTTAATTTGAGGGTATTTACATCCAAATCAGGTGAACGGTGTAGGAATTACAACTGTTTGTATATGTGCCTCCCACTTTTTAAGGGACCAAAAGTAATGGGACAGATTAACAGTCATAAATCAAACTTTCACTTTTTAATACATGGTTGCAAATCCTTTGCAGTCAATTACAGCCTGAAGTCTGGAAAGCATAGACATCACCAGATGCTGGGTTTCATCCCTGGTGATGCTCTGCCAGGCCTCTTTTGCAACTGTCTTCAGTTCCTGCTTGTTCTTGGTGCTGTAAAGGATCGATGGTCACCCCGACTGGGTACCTCAATTAAAGGATGCTCCTAGCGCTTTCTGAGGGTTCCAACCACTCCAGCCGACACCATAACCACCATACACTCCTTCCGAGAGCAAGACAGGAACAAGCTCTTAAAAGAGCTTAGTGATTAGATAAGGGAATATGCAGAGCATAGCAATCCCTTGTAGTAATATAGCAATTCCCCCAATAAGACACAGGACTCTAGATTGAGGGTGAAGAAGAACTCTGATTTGTAATGACACACACTCTGCTTTTATGCAATTCTCCCATGCAAGGGAGATGCCCACAGACAATTGTGAATTACCCAATCACACAATGGTTACATCCCACACATCTCCTCCCCTTAGCCTGAGAGGTAACACAATTAGCCGTACAATTTTAAAACATACTTTTTACCCAACTTTCATAACTCTAAAACTATACATCCAATATTATTAATCAGCATATTTCAAATACAAACATACCCCAAAATTATTTGAATCCGTTCAGCCTTTCGGGAGATAGATATGTCACTTTTGACCGACTGTAAGCACATTTTTTGCCCAAAACAGTTCCATAGATTTGGGCTGTGCGGTCGGTCAATTTCACACTGAAAGAAAATGCCTTTTGTAACTGTTCCTTTAAATTACAAATTGCTCTGCTTCACTGGATTATGGAGGAGCCTATTTG